CGTGAAGATGGCTTCCTTTCTTCCCCCGAGCGATCTTGGTTCCCTTCCCACGGAGGAGGGCCTCAGAGGTAGAGACAGATCTGATCCTTGGTGTTTTCTAGCCTTTGACCCTCTATTCTGAAAAACTCCATTCTGAAGATGAAATTTGATGTACAGCAGCAAGGACATCAAAAAAGGGGGAAAAATAACTGTTTCAAACACTCCTGAGACCTTTTCCACAACAGCGGAGTTGTTAAACATATTGGCCTTTTTAAAGGGTTTAAAATCCCCCAAATATAATCAAACCATCGTTGATACTGTTATAATTTCTAACGCTGAAGTAGTTCTAAAAAGGTTGACTCATTTAAAGTAGAAAAATATTGATTTAATATTGATTATCAGGCTTTTACAGCAGTTTTTGCTGAAGGTGCAGTTTTCTGCCTTAGGAACAACTGTGTGGATTTTTTGCTTAAATCTGACACTGCAGAAAAATAATAATGCATTAAAATCAATGTTGCTGCCATCATTGAACCATCTCAGTCCCTAAAAATATTTATAAGCATATACTCTTTGACATTATTTTATGGAAATTATTCAGTTTTTTGTTTTTTCATAAATAAAACAGCATAGTTGTATAAACATATTGGCGTTTAAAGGTTAAATCCCAAATATAAAAACATTTGATATTGTATATTTCAGCTGAAGTAGTTTCTAAAGATTGACTCATCTTGTAAATTATTGATTTATAGATTTTTACAGCAGTTTCTTGCAAGTGGCAGTTTTCTGCCATAGGAACAAATGTGTGATTTTTTTTTAAGTTTAAGGAACCCCTAAGGGTTAATATGATATTATCTTCTCTAACTCTCCACAATGATGCAAATAAGTGAATTTCCCTCAAATGTCAATTTATTACAATCTATTATTATCTTATTACCAAGGGGAATGATGACCAAAAAAATAAACAATTGTGAGACCTACACTGTGTGTGTGTCCATGTGTTTTTGTCAGAACCACCACCGAACACTTAATATTTGGGTTTGAGATCAAGATTTCTAGTAAATCCAATGATCAGTAATAACAAAGCACTCTCAGTAATATTCTTCTTCTACTGCCTGTCTCCTCACTGATTACGGTCCTTCTGGAGATGCGGAGATGAGTTTCCCTGGCGCCTCTTCTGTCTGTTTCCTGCTCACTGCCTTCTCCGTACGCCTTTCAATCTCCCACTTCACCCCCTTTGACCTGCACTCTATTCTGTCGCTCCTGCATTTTACTTCCTAGACTTCTTTTCTAACAGCTCTTTCCCATAGGGGAAACTTCAAATGCCTTGTGGCAGCAAAAGTTAAAAACCTTATATGTCTAAACACGTCGTGTCATCATCAAGTCTTATTTCTCATCCCTCCTGTTCTTTTCTCACTGTCTCCAGGTGAGCGGGATCAATGCATCAATGAGCAGGAAACGTGAGCAGCGTGTGCTATTCATGGTGGTCATAATGGTGATCTGCTACCTGTTGTGCTGGCTGCCTTACGGCATCATGGCCCTGCTGGCCACCTTCGGGCCGGCGGGCATGGTCACACCCGAGGCAAGCATCATCCCCTCAGTCCTGGCCAAGACCAGCACAGTCATCAACCCAGTCATCTATGTCTTCATGAATAAACAGGTGAGCACCGGAGGGAGGGAGGGCCGTGGCTGAGGTCAGTGCCTTTTATCATTCGCTGTCACGAAGCAGCAGGCGGAGGTCATCTCGCCTACTGAGGCCAGTCCTCTCCATTGTTTTCGTGGTGGTTTTATATGATAGAAATGAGTCATTGTTTTATATTCCTATCAGATGTTATTACGGTGCCTTCTTGACACTGAATAATCTAAATTATGTACTGCGGATGATGAAAAAGGTGTTTTTTTTCACATTTGGATATATTATATGTACATATGTTACAGATTTGAGGAGAAACGCTCAAGATGCACAGTGCAATTTCACACTGAAGAGATAATGTTTCATTTGGACATGTGTATGATGGCTTTCTACCTTTGTAAAAGTGTATCAAGAAGCGTCACTGTGATCACAATAAGATAATAAGTTATCTAATGACATGAACAATCCAATAATAGGAGAGGAGACATTGGATAGGTCCTCCTCTACATGCATGCATTTCAGTGTTACTCAGGCTTCTCAACAAATCTAATATATTCTGTCATCGCTGGACCCAGGTCTTTCATGTGACTCTAACCAATTCCTGGTACTTATTGACTGCTTGTGAGGCCAGAGGGGGTGTTTACAATGCAATTAGGGCACCCATCACCTCAAGTGCTGATATTTAAACTCACAGTGCGTCTCAATCTTGGCCCATGGCCACTTCAGACAATATTATGAATCACTTTAGGAGTTATTATCTTTAATTGGGAACTCCTATTATGAGTCTGTTGTTGTAGCCTGGGACTATTATTGTGTTTATTTACTGTACTACTTAATTGCTATATTTAATGTTAAGTTATCTGTGAGAAGGTCAATAAAACCATCATGAGCCCCTATTAGCTCACTTCATCTCACAGTTTATCACTACTGTTATCAGTATAACTGCTGAACATAAAACCGTTTTTGTACATAAATTGTCCATAACATTAAAAGAAACATCTGACATTTTGAAAAATAACCAGTTAGATGAGAAGATACCACTATCATACCTGTTAAATATTGGGCCATAGTAATGAGCAGTTAGTTTGGCTGAGCAACAAGCAGAGACTCCAGGAAATCACTGCCTCCAACCAGGAAAATGTCCAGCACATAACCTGTAAAACCACAAATTGTCATTTTTACATTTCAGCTTTTGTACCCATTAGCATGTGATAACTTTTTGTTTAATCAATGAGCTTTAGAGATGATGGTAGGTGGATTTTGTTACCTTTGAACAGAGCCAAGCTAGAGTTAAGCTAACATGAGCCAAGATAACCAGCTACTGGCTGGAGCCTAAACAGACATCTAACTCATCAACTCATGTAATCTAATTATGCATCAGAGAGTGTGTAAGTGTATTTCACAAACTGTCGAACTGTTCCTTAAAATATTCAAGACTTAATAAGCAACAATCAAAGTAAAAAAAAAACACAAACAAACATATATTATATATTTAAGTATTATTTACACTCAAAACCTCAACTAATCAGGAAGTCAATCAAAGAAAATACATTTTCAGGCCCTTTAATTTGTTGTCACGTACACCTGAAAGTTCAGAACAGCTGAGGAAGAAATACTGTAAACACATGACGGTACATCTGTCACAAGTCGAAAGGAAAAGACAGACAGAAGTTCTTGGGTCTAGACGGTGCAGGCTCTGCTCATGCTTTTTTGGCTGGAGGGCGAGAGAGACAGGAGACAGGATGAAAGCCAAAAGGCAGTCAGGGTTGGGAAGTGAACTCCAACATCAGACATGATTCATCAGTCATTCCTCGTGTTATGCCTCTAGTGGGCAACATGTGGAGACTCACATCTGAAAATAAACAAGCTGCACATACATACTAAATTATTGATTAAGGACCAGGGAACACAAAGCCTTTGTATTCAAATAATTAATCACAACAGACCTTAAAAGTTGCGTCATTTATCATGCAACTCTGGCTTGTTTGTGTTATTCAATTAAATCCCCAGACTGATGGTTGTTTGTTGACTCATTTAGTAGGGGCCTTTTTATTGAGCAATATCAGGTTCAGCCAAGACGGAGATTAGGGTCCAGAACAATGTTTGAAATGAATCCGAGATTCTCTTTCCTGAAAATTACATTAGGCTATTATCAGCAAAGGTGAATTTAAATTGGATTTAATGAGACACACTGCCTAACCCGTACCAGTACTGATGCAGTTTTACCCCAAAAGGATATGCTATTGTTTAATGGGTGATTCCAGTTACTTTTATAGGCCCTAATTTCATGGTGTTTTTCAATGACAACATTTAAATCGCTTACTGTAGAGCTCCAAATGTAGTACTTACTATGCAGTAGTAGTAAAGTGACTCTAACCATGTTATTTCAAAACATGTTTGTTAATAACTTTGATTGATTAAATTATCACAGCATTCTAGCTTAAATTGCTCATTTAATAATTTTCTTCTTTTTTTAAATATTGTTTACCAAGGCTTGGTTACCATCTGGGCAGAGCAGGAAACTGCCTCGAATTATGGATAATTTCACCTCTCTTTAGGCCTCTAGAAATCATTCAAATGGAACAATTCATTGATAAAACTCACTCTTTGGTTTAATTATTGTCAACTCAAGTCTGATCTGAGGCTATATCCTGTGATTAGTGATTGCAAGTACACATGTTTAAATGGAGTAAAACAGGCAATTCATTTGTGATATTCTGATGAACTGGCGATCATTGTACGCACCACAGAAGAACAATATGCACTGCAGCAAGAAGGGCCTCATGTTGACACTCCAATTATTACCATATTTTGAGGCCCCCTTTAGTTAGAGTTAAGTCCTTACATGGTGCATATTCCTAAAAGTTTTCAAATTGCCACAAACCTATCACTGATGATTAAATGATGCATACAGAATGCATAGTGGGTGGGAGAAATGGAGAGGTCAATCGGGGCTAACAGTAAATTTTTGCCCTCGGGGCCCCCTTTGTAGGTTAGTAAGGCGCTGTTGTTTACACACTTCCTCTTTTACCTAGCTTACTGCCTTTGTGTTGTATTCAGGTTTCTTTAGTTTTAAAGTATACGTTAATCATTGAGACACTGACCGAGCACACACAAACTCACTACAGCAGGTAGACTACATGTATGTACAGCCATTTCCCCACGCTTGTGATAACAGCAGCTGTAAAACTGTGCACAGATCCTGCCTGTAATTCCCACAAGGAAGTTGACAGACATTTTTCCTAGTTATTACATTAATTATTTACAGAACGTATTATGTGACATGGACGCAGCCTCAGCATACTTAATAGCCGACAGTATATGTCAGCTACCTTATGCTGCACCATATACGCAATGGGTAATCAGAAATTGGATTTGGGGTTTGACTGCTGGGGAGAGTCCTCGCACTCTGGGTGTGTTTTGGAGAGAAGCACTGAGCTCTACAGTGAAGAAATGGACTGAGATTTGAACAGAATCCATCCCTTTTATGAGGAAAAAGCAGGAAAATAAGGGCCTTCAAACTTCTCTTTGTGTTCAAACCTTTTAGTGACACAGCATCTTATTTCTTGCATGATTTCTAACATCCAGTTTATGAAAGATTACATACGCTCACAACTGCATTTACTCAGATACATACATATTTTTTCAGGTGACACGCAACTTCAAAGTGTCACTCCTCAGTAAAGGAGATCAAAGTCATTAGATTAAATATCTGAGTGTCTTAAATTAGATTTGAGGAACTTCGGACATATTATAAAATGATTAATAACATAAATCTAAAGTTAAAGCTAACTGCAGGTAACTTCTGTCCTTGGGTACAGATGATAATATTAATTCCACAGACTGAACTCCTTATCGCTGAAGACATGTTACTTTGATTTAGAATATACATTTTGGATGTATGGTGGTCTGGAACTTAACTTAAATTCTACTTTGTACTTAAAACAGTTCCTCTCAAGCAAAACTCTTCACAAACAATACATTCACACATAAGATTTAAGATGTTTTTTTCCTTTTTGAAACACAGTTCATCATGGCGAGGAAAAAAACACAAAGATAACCAAGATTGTCCTCCATTCCCTCTGGGGCAGACCGATAAAACTTTTTCCCCTCAATGTAATCTTTATCATCTCATTCTGTTCTATTAAGGGAAGCACGAAATGCTGTGTAAGGTTTGAGAAAATATTCCCTTCAGACTCAGGATTTCATGTACAGAGAATTATATACAGTACTATATATTGGAGAGCAAATCTTATCACAGTTCCCAAAGCCATTCAAGTGTAAACTTTCTTCACATAGTTACTGTCAAGAGTTGAAAAGCAAAACAAAATTACACCTTGTTCCAGATGTCTGTCATCTGGAGGTACGGCAGCCTCCTCTGCATTGCCGTCTGTTCAATCTCACGTTCCCATCCTACTCAAGCCCCCACGGCAGCTGACTGACCTTACAGGGACATTTTAGCCCACACATCCTCTACCGCAGGACAGCGTGAGAGAGAGGGACACCAAATCTCCTGTATGTCTTTTTCAGTCTTCAATTCCTCCCAGCCCGTTACTATGGAAACTGTGAGTTGAGGCGAGTTGAAGACTAAAAATGCTGTACAGATACAAGTAGCAACTGGTGTGTTTGTCCCCATCAACGGTCAGTGGCACTCACAGCCTAGAGGCCTGAGGTGAATGTCGGGAGCCTGCACGGAAAAACCGAGGAAGCAAGGGTAAGTTAACAATGAATTGACTTTGTGTCTCCTATGATAACGTGGTGGTTTGTACTGAATGTCTGCTGAGAGGACACGAGAGCTTTGCTGCAAAAACTTTTGCAAACCTAAAAGGACATACAGGGACATAAAACATTGTTTATGTTGTTTATAGGGCAACATGAACCGTGAGTCCTTTTGCAACTTCTCAGATGACCCTACCGCATTTACATAATTGTAATTACAAACACTACTGCAAAAGTGGCTTAAATTAGGTGAAGTACCAGTAAACTGTCATTTTTTAGCTACAGAACTTTTAAGAACACCAGCCAAG